TGTCAAATAAAGAATAAAAAAAAAAATCAATTGGGCAGAACTACAGTTCTTATATTCCTACGATCCATTTTTCATATTTTGGCCCATAGATAATGTTAGGCCCATACCAAAAGCCTACGGTCGTCTGTAGCTTGTCTGATCTTCTTCTCCTCTTCGTAGACCTGACAGGAAGTTTCAGTCAGCAGAATACTACCCGCCACATAAATTATCACGTTTTTTTCAGCAGCAAGAATTTGTCTTTTTCAAAACATCAAAATTGCCCAGGAAAATTACGCGCTTAACAAGGCGACGGCGGCTGAATTTCCCCATTTACCTTATTTTTTCTCATTTTAGTTGCTCCAATTGAAGATTTTTAAGAAAGAAAGATCGATTTTTTTTCCTGATAAATGTCGAGCAATTGTTGTTTTTGTCGCGGGCTCACGAGCCTAAATCCGGTGAAGTTTTTCGTGTGGCCGAGAAAGGTGGAGTTGAGGAGGCAAACGAGGTTTGGGTTAAGGGCTTCAATGGTGGAGTCTTATGGGAGCTCCAATTTCGCCAATCGCATGGAGCGAGCTTGGTTAATCTCTCAGGTATCGTTAATCTTTCTATTCCTTTTTTGGATTTATTGTTTTCTGGGTTTTCAATTTATGTTTTCTATTGCAGCTTTTGGTCATGTAGTTGAGGTGAAATTGGAAAATTTTAATGATATTTGTGATTGCTAAGGTTTGATGTACTTTGAGCTAGATGAAGTTGGGTTTTCAATTTCTGTTTTTGTTGCAGTTTTTGGTCATTAGTTGAAATGAAATTGAAATTGTTGATGATAATTGTTGTTGCTGATGTTTGGTGTACTTTTAGCTAGATGAAGTTGAGGCAGACAGAGTATTTTGTGAGGAAAAACACCAGCATTGGATNAGGTGAGTTGCATTGGAGGATTTGAAACAGGGTTCAATATATGAATCAACTCAATACTTGGTGAATATTATCAAATTTGCTAAGGCTTGATGTACTTTTAGCTAGATGAAGTTGAGGCAGATTGTGAGGAAAGAAAAAATCAGCTGAATTTTATATGTTTTTTTTCTGTTAATGTAGTCATGGAAATTCATTTGAAGTTGGGTTGCATTGGAGGATTTGAAACTGGGGTGAATATAGAATATATGTGCTTTGGTGAATATAATCAAATTTGCTAAAACGATCCCAAGTGTTGCTAAGATCTTTGTTACATACTATCCTCCAAAGTCCAAAACAAGTTTCGTGGTGAATTTCATCCTACTCCATGGCCACTGCCCTCATAGTGGTTTTAGCCATTAAAAAACCTCCATCTCTGAGAATTTTCTACCTGCCATAAGTTAGTTTATAGATTATTTGGTTAGCTTATAAGCTTTATGTATACAATAAGTTTGGGAGGACGAGCTTTTCTTAAAAGCTCGAGCTTATCTCATAAGCTTTAAAACTTCTTTGGGTAGCTTTTCAAATGAGTCCGTTGAAATTTTTATGTTAATTGGCTTATGAAACACTTTTATCATATCAACTAGATTTTCAGCCATAAGCTATCAACTATAAGCTCGAAATTCACTTATAAGCTATCAGCTAACTTAACCAAACATAGCCTCAAATGGTTTGTGGATGTTTGTTTGGATTATCTCTAGACAATCTTGGAAATTTTTCTGCTTGAGTGTCCTATTGCTCGTTGAGAGATATAAATACCACATATATATTTTATTTTATGGAAGGTGATCAAATAATATATATGCACTTATTGAAGCATGTGTCCCCTGAATGCAGCAACCGAGGCCCATTGCTTGTTCTTCGTGCGACGCAAAGGGGCACGTCGACTGTAAGTGGTGCAATGGAACCGGCTTTTTCATCATTGGTGATAACATGTTGTGCCAGGTCCCTTCTAGAAACACCACGTGCGTTATATGCTCGGGAAAGGTAAATAAATCATCTATCTGTTTTTTTTTTTTTTAATTTAATATTGGCATGTTCATATGCTATTTTAGCACATTATTATAGGCACAATTACCATGACACCATCTGATTGATACACTTGGAGCGTGTTGGTAAGCACCATAGGTTATAGTTTATCTGGTTATCTACCTTCATGTATTTAAATAAGTTTGGTTTGGTAAGACGAACTTTTAAAAAAGCTCGAGCTTATCTCATAAGTTTTTTTGAGTAGTTTTTCAATGAAACCCATTGAAATTTTTATTTCAACTCGATTATCATCTAGTTTTACCACACTTTTGTCATATCAGCTAGCTTTTCAGTCATAAGTCATAAACTATCAGCTATAAGCTCGAAATTCACTTATCAGCTGTCAGTTAGCTTATCAGCTAAGTTTACCAAACATAGCTTTAAGTGACTCTCATTCACATGTGGTAAAGTGAAACAACATAAAGATTTAACATATCTGCTTTTCCTTTTTCCTTCTTTTAGGGTTCTGCTTGTTGTTCGGATTGCAAAGGAACCGGTTATCGTGCAAAGTGGCTTGAAGAGCCCCCAATTACCGAGTAGCCGTATTCTACATTCTCGTCATGCGACTAAATCGGCCCGCGCCAAATTTGGATTTTGTTCATGGCTTTGTTTTTTTTTTTTTTCTCTCTATTTTGGAATTGGGTTTCATTTGCTGGCTTGGCTGTGCTACTGATGTAACAACAATGTCTTACTGTCAAGAAAGGATGATTTGTAATTTATTATTGTAACTGTAATTAACTGAATAGTTTCTCTCATTTTATTTTATTTATTTTATTTTTCTTTTATTTTTTTGTTTGGCCATCTTCATTTCAAATAGACAGTTTGAAAAATAGATCTCGCTGCATGAAAGATTATTATTATTATTATTTTGTTTGATTAGTCAAGATTATCTCATTGAATTGAAAATGAAACAAAAGGTTTTCACAAAAATGACTATCCATTCTCTCTCTCTTTTATCGCACAAACCCCACAAATATAATTACAAAATTATCAAACAAAAATATGTTCTACTCACATATTTTTATATATTAATTACTATCAATTAAAATTTTATTATTTTTAATATCACAGGAACTTTGATCAATATATATGTATTTAAAATTTCAAATATTTCTCACCTTCTCTAAAATTAATATTTCCATCTCTCTGTTTTATTTTTCAAATGAGACAAAAAAAGAAAAAAAAAAAACTTATATCCAATTGCAGCAGAATGGCTTAGTGGTACATCATAGCCAAGTAATTTGTTCATGTGAAAATCACAGCTTAATCTATATACATGATAGAAATGTAAACTCTTATCATGAATTAGCAGTTAAGAACTCAATTCACAATAGAGAACATATTATTTAGGTACACATTTACTGTAAATCTCTCTCTCTATTCCTATCCTAACCTAAAAAAAAAAAAGATTCAGAATCATTGTGTATGTTCGGTGGCTTACGGAGTTGCAGTTGATTTCTGCTCGACACATCGAAACCACCATTCAATCGGGAATAGACTCGTGCAGCGAGTAAAAACGGACCTTTAGACCACTTGAGGCTGTAATATTACAAAAGTTAATGATGAACTATAGGAATCATATTAACTAGACAAATGCAGTTCCAATCAAATTTGAGCCACAAAAAATAAAATAAAAATATTTCGCAATTTTCCCGAGTTCCGCTAAATAAAAAATATAAGTATTAGCTAATCGAAGAAAACTCACCGATGATGGTCTGGCCACGGTTCTTTCTCCACATGATACTGTGTAAAAGAGGAGCAAATTCCTAGGACTTTTTGCTGCATTGAGTGACAAAAGATCAAGGTTTGATGAAGAACATGTAATATTTTTTTCGAAAAAGCGAATAAACAAGTAAATTATACTCAAGGCATGTATACAAAGCCAACCCCAGCTTTAGACTAATTTGGAAAAAAACTCAAATTTGAACAGTGGGCTTGAAAAAGATATTAAACGCGTACCACTCACAGCAATCGGAAAATCGAGGTACTCTCAGTCTCATATTTTGTGCTCCAATCGGTTTAACAAATCGAAATTTCACAATTACAGGCCAAAAATCACGTTTGAAAATTGTTCGCCAACAGCTCGATTTTAAATTTTAATACTGCTGAGACCTTTCTCCACCATCTCATTCAGCAAGGCCTCGCTTTCTTCCCTCTTGCCAAGCTCATTGTACTTATGAATAAGACAGCCGTAAACAACTTCATCTGGCTCAATTCCCTTTTCAATCATCTCAGAAAGCAAATCCTTAGCTTCCTTAACCCTACCGCATTTGGAGAGCCCCGAAATTAAACAAGTGTACGCATGAAGATCCAAATCCAACCCATCTTCACTCATTCTCTTTACAAGTTCGAAAGCCTCCTGAAAATCTCCTTGCTTTATAGTCCCCATAATCAACGACGTGTAAGCAATTACATCAAGGATCAAGCCCTTTTCGGTCATTTCTGAAAAAATCCTTTTAGCATCCTCTACGCGTCCGTTTTTGCACAGCCCGTGAACTAACGACGTGTAAATCACAACATTAGGCTGCAAATTAGAACTTTTCATACTATTGAAATAACCAATTGCTTCCTCAACAAATCCCAATCTGCATAAACCATTAATCAACGAGCCGTAAGTCACGGCTGTAGGGCCCATACCTTTTTTGCGCATTTCATCGAGCAACTTTCGTGCTTCTTCAACTTTTCCTGCCTTGAAATAGGAATCTATAAGCGTCGTGTAAATTACTTCGCTAGCCTCGAATTTATTTTCCTTCATTCCGTCCAACAACGAGTCGACCTCTTCGAATCTCCTTGCATTACAAAGCCCCCAAACTAACGTCCCGTAGAAAACTAAATCGGGCACGATTTTATTTTCTTTCATTTTCCCCAAAATCTTCAATGCATCGTCTATTTTTCCGGATTTAATGTATCCATGCATGAGAGCCGTGTATATTTTCTCGTTAGCTACCAACCCTTCTCTAATCATAACCTCAAAAATCTCTTCGGCTTCCTTAATTTTCCCGCCTTCACATAAACCATCGATTAAAGCCGTAAATGTCACAATATTTAACCTTACAGTAGCTTCAAGCATTTCCTTCACAAACTTAATGGCATTATCTGCATTTCCTGATTTAAAACTAGCATCGATAAGAGAAGTATATGTGAATTCGTTAGGAGAGAGTCCTACTCGCCTCATATCCACAAAAAACTTAATAGCATGATTTAACATTCCTTCTTTGCAAAAAGCATCGATGAACGTGCTGTAAGTCACGACATTCGGTCTAATAAACCTTTCCTTCATCTCTCTAAGGTATTCAAAGGCCTTCGGCAAATTCTCATATTTACAAAAACAGTTAATCAATGTATTGTACGTAATTATGTCGGGAGAGCAGTTCACCGTTTTCATCTCCTCATATATACAAATCGCCTCACACAGTTGGCCGATTTTTCCATATCCATCTATAAGAGAGTTATAAGTAACAATATCGGGCGTTATGCCTACTTCCTTCATTCTAGCAAACAAGGTTCTTGCTGCTTTTAAATCCTTTTCTCTGCAAAAAAGACCAATCATTATGTTGTAAGTATAAATCGACGGGCTAATTCCAGCCCCAACCATATCAGTAAAGAACTTTTTTGCCGAGACCCCTTTTTCTGCTTTCGAAAATTTCTGCAGAAGAATATTACAAGACCACAGTTTCGGAATAACTCTGAATTTTCTCATATTCAAGAAACACTCCCTAGCTTCCTCTAGCAACCCCAACTCGACAAATACGGTAAATAACACATCAAATACACCGTAATTAGGAAAGCAAACGTTCCTGGTCGACCAAAGAACATCAATGACAGTAGAGCAAGAAAAAATTTCGGTGCCATTTTCACTATTTTTATGTAGAGTAACTAGTCGTGTAAGAACATTGTGGGCATCCGAGTACATTTTCGAACAGAACAAAATATGAGCAATCAAGCAGAAATTTTCGGTCGTGTGATGAAATCCGTTTCGTGATTCGGCCCATCGGAACAATTTGAAAGCCAATAAAGGATCATTTTTCAGCTCTATCAACATCTTGGACACCCAAACAGGGGCCAACTTCGATTCAAATAACCTCAACAGCTGAAAATCATCCCATCTATCCTCTTTAATAATTTTCCCAACTTTCTCCCCATTGAAAAATCCATAAAAACTGCTAATACTCGAATCAGTAGAAAATGAGCACCGAAAAAGCAAAACTTGAGCTGCACCCCAAGTCGATTCGTTTCCTGATAAGACATAGCATGACGAGGTGAAGAGTAGTGAGCTTACAGCATTATAATGGGAGTTCTTGAGCATGCGGAGGATTAACATCGCTAGGGAGAAACCGAAGAAACACGAAACGAGGTCAGACATGGGCTCGGTCTGAAGTTAAAGAAAACGATCGCATGAGAGAGAAAAGGGAAAATGGGAATCGATTTTTTNNTAGCTTTTTCTGATAGAAAATTGGCGGCCGGAAGCTATGGAGGTTTTAGCACAATCCCATGTAGGAAAGATGAAAACTTGATAGCTACGCCGGAGCAAAGGCTGGAAATGGTGGCGAGCGGAGGAGGTTTTAGCCTTTTAGGAGAAAAAAGCACTAGGTTTTATGGACATTTTGGGCTTCAGGTGAAGAAATAAGGTAAAAAAAATTGACATTTCATATATATATTTTTTGGTTAAAAAAGTATGAAGAATAGACCCATCATTTCAATAGGCTCGTATTGATTTTTTATTTACATAATTAACTCATATCTATACTTATATTAAAGGGAGTCCTATTTATCAAATTTAGTAGTTATAAAAGTCAATAACATTTATTGTCATTACTATTTCCGTATTATACAGTTTTTATTTAATATTTGTTTTTCTGTATTATACAGTTTTTATTTAATATTTGTTTATTAAATATATTTCATTACATAAAATAAAAAGAACAAGAAGACGTGTAACTTGTATAAGTTTATAAATAATAATGACATATTATGGCAACAGAGTTTAATAATTAACTATTATATAGTGAATAAGAAGAAGTAAAATTGTTATTTTCTCTTATATCAAGAAATAAATATATATAATAAAATTAAATTTATATTAGTATAAATGTGTTAGTGAGATAATATATTAAATATTTTACAAGTTAGCCCTAACATGCTCACGTTTAATGTTCTGACTAATAAAACAACGCTGATTAAAAGATGTGAAAAATAGATTACAACCCTATTTTTTTAGACTTAACGGTCATTAAAAGAGGTGGAAAATAGATGATAACTCTTTTCAGACTTAAACGAGACTTTAACGGTGATTAAAATAGGTGAAAAATGGATAATAACCCTTCTCAGACTTAAACGGACAGAGCCTGTGAAAATAATTCATTTAATATCTCTCTTCCGTGCATCGCACGGGGTACGTACTAGTAGTTTACTTAATCAATATTAAAATACCAAGGTCAAAATAGTCTATTTTTAGTTTAAAATAGTCTATTTAGTTTAACACAGTACCTTTATATTTTAAATTAAGTTGAAGGCATGTTTGTTTATGAGTTAACTTACTCATTTTTATCTCATACTCAAAATCTAACTCATCTTTAACTCAACTCCATTATCTTTAATAATATCATATAATTAAATAATACAAACCAATCATTCTTACACATCACATTAACTTTAATTCACTATTCATCCACTCACATAATTTTAACTATCTATCATTTTCAATCATTTCTAATCATTTATCTCCTACTTTTACATCTAATCAATTTTAATCATTTTATTTAAATATTATTTTAATACATTTTTAAAATTTCACTAACAACTAATTATACCACATTTTTCAAAATTAACTATGGTTAACTAAAATAATTCATTTTGAACAAATTATTTCATAAACAATCAAGCCCTAAAATTTCGAGCCGAACTCGAGCCATGTCAAGCATTCTTATTTTATTCACGAGTTGACTCGAGCAATATTTTACCTAGCTCATCGAGCTGGAGCATTGAAGAAAAAAGTTTGATGTGCGCACTCGACAAGGTTGATGTTCGACTCGAAACGAACTCGACTCGTTTCGTTTGTAGCCCTAGTTCAATCATGTGTGCTGTATCAATTTTTAATTTTGATAATATTATAATAAGAATAATAAATGTTTGTCATTCTGATAGTGTAACACAACTGTAACAAAGTTTTCGGCTTCTCAAAGAAAATCCAGAAACGATATTTTTGGAATTTCGAACCAGTATTTGAAAAAACACGACTTTGTTTGATTGAATCGACAAAATTGCACCAACCAAGTACAATTGTGGATAACATGACATTAAACTAATGATGCAAAGCTCATACAGATTGTACAATATGCAATTTCATTTCATATGTTGCAATAATGATTGCTAGACCAGATCAAATGTCACTAGCAAATTAAAAAGTTTCCATAACAAGAAAATATGAGATACAAAAGCTCGACAAAAGTCGAATTAGAGAAGAATATGCATCGGAAGGACCTAATGTGCCAATTTCCTCAAGTGCTGTAATGTCTTTTGCTTGATCCATTGTCGATCATACGGTAAATAAGCTTGGATTGAATGATCATAGCTGCAAACGCAAAATAGCAATTAGTTGAAATATTAATAGACATTATTATACTCACACACAAACACACACACACAAGATAGACAGAGATTTTACACTAAAGCACTTAAGTCATGAAGTCCATCAATGAAATTATAAAGATCCGAAATATCGTATGTGATATTTCTTGATGCTGGATTTAGCTCCTTCAGCTTCCGTTCGTAAAGCCCACAAATTCCTGGGAGAAAAAGTTACCGAGACAATAAAGAAAATAATAATAAAAAAAAAAGTATGTTACACTATTATTGAAGACAATCATCTTTATGCAATTATGTTGTTTCCAATTTTTATCCAAAGGCACTTGTAATATTCTTTTTCACTCTTAATTCAGCAAGTTTTCTTAGACGATTTTCTTTGTGGCGATTAGAAAAGACATCTCACACATGTATAACAGAAACTATATAATCAGAGATCCACGACAACTATAGAATAAAATTATGCATCCTTCTCCTTTATTTATTTATTTATTTTTTCATTTCACATGAAGAAACTATGTCAATAGCAGGAAAAACCAGAAGTAAAGCCTTTTAAGTACCAACCTAAAGCACCAATCAGATTTCCTTTTTTTCCTTTTTTTTGGGTCTTTGGGTAAAGAATGGGTTATCCCCTTCTCAAAACCGAAATCTAGTAGTAATCTTCACAATTTCTCTTTTTATTTTTTTTATTTTTTTTATGATAATGATATTAACTCTATTAATGTATACCATCCATTGCTTGGCTGATAGAATCATAGTCCATGAAAGTACGACTTGCCCTGTTGTGAGATGCTTGCATGAGAATAATCGTGTGCCTATTAGACTGCGTACAAAAAGACGTATAACCAAACAAGAGACGAAAAATAACACTTTAGGCTCAGAAAATCTTTCCAATTAGAGAACTGTATTTTGAAAAAAACAAAAAGAAAAACCACAATACAAAAATGCCCAAGAACCTAAAAGCCATCAAATGGTGTTCGTGGCTAAAACTTCGAGCAATGTAGCAAAACAAGACCAAGACTATTGATTCAGACTTTGACTTCACACACAAATACAACATATTGGAAATTTATACACCAATCACTCTGAGCCCTTTTTGTGGATATAAAAAAGACGGCTTAAGGAGAATGACGAAAACAAAACAAAAATCAAAGTCAAGGCATGTAATAATTACGTTCTCCTTAAGACGAAATTGCCCCGTAAAATACCCACGGTTATTGGCAAACGCCTCCAAGATACAACGACTTTCGACTTGTATATAGCGGTACTTTAAATATACAAGACTTCGGCGAACACTACTATTGTTTGGAACTAGGAACACAAAGAACACAAGATGATTTATGAACTTTGTAAAAGGATGCAAAGAACTCTTGAAAATTTGATGTCTTGAATGATTTCATGCTAGTGAGTATTGATAGATGTAGGAAAACACCTCCAAGAGGTTTAAGTGTCAAAAGACACATTTTGGGACGCGTCTGAACAAGAACGGATGCATCTAGTGGTCAAAAGACACTTAATTGTCACCAATAGTCACGACCCTTCGGTGGTCGCGACCAGCTGCGCGCCCGTGTGCCGCGGGCTCGTACGAGCTCATACAAACTCGGAATCGAGTTTCGTTTTTTCTTACTTATCCCCAACGTACCCCTCTAGAGTTCAAGCATGCAAACAGGTCTTGTTTGAATTGTCTAAACACTTGTCAAAGACATAATGTTTTGCAAATCCAATAATATTTGAGTTACTTAAACTCAATTGTTTCAACCTTACATTTTCACATATACAACTTAGAATTAATTTCTCATTCACCTTAAAATAGTTTTGAGAATTTTCTAAGTCTTCCACTTACGAAAAATGGAACCGATAAATTGATACAAAACCAAATTTTCTTACATAACCAAGTTTCGAATTTTATCTAGAAAACATAACGAGCTTCTGATTCTCAACTATATTTCTCCTTCACAATAATAAATTGATTTTGCCAAAACTAACATTGGGAAACAAACCGTAAACCAGATTCTTGCTCAAAGACACTTTCACACCATATATGTGACCGAAAAAAAAAAAGTCTAAAAACACCAATAGTAGCACAAAGGAACAATTTTTACTAAGCCGCAAATGAAGATCATGAATTTAATTAGATTAACCTATGACTTCACATCAAGGGCTGTTTAATTAACAGAAACCCAAATGAAATATAGCTCCATAAATCAAGAAACTCGAAACCCAAAAGGGCCAAAACCAAAAAAAGAGTATTGACTGAAAAAGCCCTAACGAAACTAGCTACAAAAAATCATGGCAAGTGAAAGTACAACACATACAGTAGAAAAGGAGATGAAATCGTTACCATTGTGAAGGAACAAGAAGTGCTCAAAAGTGAGGAGCTCCACAAGATCTCGCGTGTGTTTGATTGTGTGTTGTGTGTTCTTGTCTTTTTTTTTTTTTGTAATACTTATATTGGAAGCACTGTTTTATATAGCTCCTAGGTAGTTTTTTCAAAGACGTAACTTTATATATTTAACGTTTTTCTTGAAAAGCTTACCAAAATGTTGAAATACAATGTTTGTTTTACGCTATTTTGCGCTATTTTACATTATTTTACACTATTTTTCACTATATTTTTTGACATTTAAACAATAAAATATTCAAAACATGTATTTTTTAGGGATTAGAATTTAGAGCTATATTTTCAAACGACAACTAAAAACTAAAATTTTGATAATGATTTCAAATTAAAAATTTAAAATCATTATAAAAAATCGGTCTAGTTTTATCATATCATTTTATTTTTCGGTAGTTAACATTTAAATTAAACAATAAAAAGTTTGGTTAGAATTAAGTCGTAGCTAAATTAAAAAAATTAATTAAAATGTACATACTTAAAATTAAACTATGATTACCTTATTATATTTTAGTTGTTTGTTTTTACTTTTTATCATATTTGCTTTATTATTTAAATATTGAAGTTAAGATATTTACACTAAACATACACATTTGAAAGAAATAATTCTTAAATGTTATCTTTTAGTTCATTCAAATATTATGATAAATTTTGGAATCAACTATTCAATTTTATCATATGCAATATATACATATATATAATATTTTACAAAAATTATTTTTTTATACTCAAATAGCTTATGCAATACGCAACGCTATTTACGCTTCGTAGTACAAAGACCAAAACACGACGCATTACGCTATACGCGTTTTAAAACACTGATTGGAAGTAGTCAATAGATGGTTTTACAATCAACTAGCTTTTAACCCGTGCATTTGCACGGAAAACAATATAATAGAACAAAAAATAATAAAAATATATAAACAATAGTAAAAATCATAATATAATCATTGGAAAAATGTTCTAAGAAATAATAACTAAATATTGTTAAACAATTTTTTATATACAACGTTTGTGGTTTTTCTATCAACAGAATTTTCATCACTACAAATCATATCTTCAAATTAAGACATATAATGGTTTTAATTGTTTAAATAATTATTGTATTTTGTACTATAGATCATATAGAAAATTTAAAAAAAATACTAAAAAAATACCAGCAAAATATTACAAAATAAATAATTGTATTTGGTTGATAAATAATGATATGTGCCAAATATTTAAGACATTTGAACAAAATGACAATTTTTTGGCCATAAAGAAATATATTGATTGAATGATAAAAAAAGCCCAAATTAGAAGTCCACTTAATTTTTTAGGATAGCCAAAATCAAATATAAAACAGGTCAGTGATAACTTGACTATAAATAGAGATAAACTCCTTGAGAGTGATGTAAGCCGTTTTTTTTTTTGTTGTTGTCGGCGCTTCTCTCGTTATTCACTCTATCTGAAACCCTAATCCTTAACCCGATATTACGAAAAACTCGGCAAGATTCAATACAAAACAACTGTTTTACCGGAGATTTTCTCCCGGTAAAGGCTTAAAAAATTAAAAAAAAAAGAGACATCCGAGAAATGTTGTTTTTGTGACCAACAGTAGTGATCGAAAAATAAAATATTCGTCCCGATTTCTTAATCTGTGTTGCTAAATCTTAACAGGTCGGTCAAAATCGGGCAATAATATTACAAATCTATGATGAGCTGAAATATTTTTTGTTAAACGTAGTTTTTATTTTTTATTATTTTCAATAATCTGTGTCGTTTTCCGAAATTCTTTGTGAATAAGCTTCAAGATATATTATATTTGATACATAATTCGAAATTATTTAGATGTTTTTCAAAATCGTTTTTCGAAGAGAACATGACATTGGTCAAACTTTTCGAACTTTTATGTATTTTGTTCAGGGTTTGAAAAAATATGTAAGTTTCTAACAGATATGTTCAGCTCTACTAACAAATACATATGTAAGTTTATAACATATCTGTTCATATCTTTTTATAACATACATATGTAACTTTTATGTATTTTGTTCAGATTTTGAAAACTAAATAGTTCAATTCTTTGTCGTCTTTCTCATCATATCAGTAAGTGAAGTTTTGCTAACACTTGTTCAAAATCGCTTTTCGAAGTTATTCAAAGTCTTTTGCCGAAGTTTTTCAAATTTTTTAGTATTTTGTTCAAAATTTGGAAATATTAGGTAAGTTTATAACAAATCTGTTTAGATATATTTATCGCATATTAGGAATTTCTAGTTTAATGTTTAAAAGAATCTGTAGGAATTTTTATTTTTTAAACTTTTACGCAAAAAAATCGATTTTAATATAAAGGCAGATGTCTTGGTAAAAGTTGAATATGTTGATAATGATAGAGAAATAAAATTATTTTTCTTATCTATATTGTATAGTGTTCAATAATGTTCCACATAATTTGCTGTGTTTTTAATTTTGATTTTTTCATATAGATTTGACTTTTTTTTTGTTGATTATTAATTGTGGTTGATATTTCTATATTATGCAACAATCTGCCATTACATACAATGTCTTGTCAATTCTCATTCTTTGACTTTGCCAATTTTCGTTTAATATGACTTTTCTGTTGCTGAAAGTATGTTTTTAATGCATTAAAATATTGATGTTTTAGATATGTTTTGATGCTATAATCATGCAGAAATTTGTCCCGCCACTTTTTTCTTAAAGAGAAATTGTTTAATGAAAATTAATCATTTTTATATTTATAATTGTGAAATAATGTTTTTTTTCACGGCCAACAGTTATTTTGTTTTAATGAAAAATATGAGACAATTGACTCAAGACACTTTTTAATTTATAAAAAAAGAATGTTGATTGCGATAATCAAATATGCAGAAATCATGCATTTTATTGAATAGTAGTAATATAAAATATTTTATTATTACTACCAAATAGAAAGTCAAAGAATGTTAATTTTGCACTATTAATTATGATCATATGGATTTTTTTTATACATGTGTTTTTTCAACGAACTTTTTAAATGATAATATTGACAATATAGACTTTGCTATAATGATTATATAGACTGTGTTATAATAATAATTTATTTATTTAATTCATAATTCATCTTATTATGCGTATAGTCTAAGTTTATAAATTATATGTCATTTAAATGTATCTATACTACTAATTTATAAGGTTTTACCATTTGGGGAGCTAAATTTTTAATTTCAATTATGAAACTAATCTTTCTTATCATTTTGTAGTTATATATTTGATTGAGTATGACTGGAAATTAAATTACAAAAAAAAATATTTCATTTTTTATTGTAATGTAACATGATATGTGTTATAATGTTTGTAATTAATACATTTATTAATATTTCTTATAACTTTAATTGTTTATTCAATTCATAATGAAATAAAAAATAATAATATATAGTTTCTGCACAACAATATTGACTGTCACGTTTATATATATAAATGAGAATAAGAAACATAAATGTGGGATAAACTAAAAGAAACTTTTTTAATTTAGTCATTAACTAATTAAGTTTAACTAAAAGAAACTTTCTTAAATGTGAGATTAATGAGTAATTAATTAAAAAAATGTAACTTCTTTTGGAGGGAAAATAAAAATATTTTTATTAAATGTTTTATTAAATGAGGTTAGCTAGCAATTATATATATATAGATTTGACTCTCTTTAGGAAACTTTAAATCAAATTTATAATTTCTATATATACTCTTGTTTAGAAATAAGTCGCCTTTTAGTTTTAGGTTGAAGGTTTCTTATTTTTATTCATGATTTGAAATAAGTCGCTATAGGCAAGATATCAATTATCATTTTTTCTTTCTAAAAGGACATCTATAATAAACAGCACTAGTACTGTAGTACAAATGGATGAGGTATCCAAAATATTAAAGGTTGAGGTGTGTTTGTAAATGAAATAATTCAATCCATATTCAATTCATACTCAAAATTTAACTAAACTCTAACTCAACCTCACTATCTTCAATATTATTAAAACATAATTAAATAATACTATCAATTAATTATTCTTACATATCACGTCAACTTTAATTCACTATTCATTCATTCACATAATTTTAACTAACCATCACTTCATATCCTATCTCTCATACTTTTACATCAAATCAACTTTAGATATATTATTTTAAATATTATTTTAATATAAACTAAAAATTCCACTAACAATTAATCATACCTCTTTTTTCAAAATTAACCATGGTTAACAAAAAAAAAAAAAAAAAAAAAAACTTATTTTGAGCGGATATATTTGTATACAAACACGCGTGACTGAACCCTTTTCCAATCAACACTGTTTCAATATCAACTAGGATACAACAACACTTTGCAGACAAACAGAGTTTCGCCTTGAAAATGAATGTACAAGTTCAAGACAAAGCAGTATGTAATAAAGATATCCCTGCATTTTATTCGAACAAGCTCACGATTTTGGGTGGCGAAATGTATCTGGAATTTCATGCCGCAAGAAGCTTCTTGATATCCTTCTGCAACAACCATGGATTCAACGTTTTTTAATACATCAAAAATTTTAAGATCATAAACGATGATTATGAGACAAAGAATGAAGAGGAGATAAATTATTGATGAAGTTGGTATGGACCTTTCTTTTTCACAAGAACAAAACTTCCACACGAATAACAAAACACGGATAACAAAACACCGTTTATATGTTTTGTTTGAAGAAAACAAAAGTGTTGTGGTTTAGAGCGAATAACCAAAGCAAATATGCCTTCCAAGCCTTGGGAAAAATGTATAATGCAAACAACGAATTCCAATTAAAAAGATGTGTACTACATACTAAGGATATGTTTGGTAATCAAATAAGTTAGGTTATAGCTTATTTGATTAGCTTATAAGCTTTCTATATACAAACAAGTTTCGTTTGGTAAGATGAACTTTTTTAAGAAGCTCGAACTTATTTCATAAAATTTTTGGGTAGTCTTTCAAACAAACTCGTTGAAATTTTTATTTCAGCTAGCTAGATTATCAACTAATTTTATCAAAATACTTTTATCAAATAAGCTAATTTTTCAGTTATAAGTCATAAGCTATAAGCTCGAAAATCACTTTTAAGCTATCAGCTAACTTTACCAAACACTTTTATCAAATAAGCTAGCTTTCCAGCTATAAGTCATGAGCTACAAGCTATAAGTTCGAAAATTACTTTTAAGCTATCGACTATCAGCTAACTTTACCAAACACTTTTATCAAATAAGTTAGCTTTCCAGTTATAAGTCATAAGCTACAAACTATAAACTCAAAAATCACTTATAAACTCAAAAATCACTTATAAGCTATCACAACTAGTTTTACCAAACATAGCCTAGTGCGGAAAAACAAGTGGAAAGGTAAGTCTACCTCGATTTGAAATGGGGAAGTTGTTGGTGGATATCTTTCGACAACTTTACCGTTTTTATCCACCAAGAATTTCTCGAAATTCCACTTAATCAAATCGCCTAGGAACCCACCAGCACTGGACTTTAGAAATTGATAAACGGGTGCTGTACTTGGTCCATTAACGTCAACCTGTACAGATTCAAACCTCAGTTATATGATTTCATCAGACGTTGAACGAGCGGAATAAAACTGTAAATAGTAAATACCTTATCAAAAATAGGGAATTCGGCTTTAAACCGCGTACAAGCAAACTGCTTGATGTCTCGATTTGATCCTGGCTCTTGAGCCCCGAACTGATTACATGGGAAGGCCAAAATCTCAAATCCTGCATTCTCAAAAAAATTGACGAAATTCGCTTTACATGACAATATGAGGAAACTTCGAATATAAATAACGAGATTCAAGACTATTCACCTTTAGTTTTGTACTTTTCATAGAGATGAGAAAGCTCCGTATAATTAGATGATGTCAAACCACTATAATCAAGAATCAATTGTCTAAATCAGTACAGATTGATGTTTAAGAAGCTTGCAACTTAAGAAACAATGGTAAGGTTCACAAGCAGTTTTTAACAATTTTTTCATAGTAAAAACCTATATTTACCATCTTGAGGCAACATTTACAATCAAAAGAACCTTCCCTTTGAATTTGCTGAGCGAAACATCCTTCCCGTCGATATCCTGTTTCGATAGTAGCAGTTAATAACTTAATACAAACCAATTAATGGTAATAAAAGGTCACTAAATAGCTCTACAGAGTTAAAAAGAAAAAGATGGAACACGAAAAAACAACAATAGATGTTTGCACAGACTTAGAAAAAGTGATTCACAAAGGAGGTTCATTTCTTGAATTTGCTTACTTTCTGCCAGTTCCGGCTCTGCATAAAGCATAATATAATCTGTATCTTAAAAATAAGATGAGTGATTGCTTTTGGCTTATAATTTTGCTCATGTTTAGACTTTCAACAATTCCAAATATATAAGCACTGCTTCAAATTCTTCACAACGCATTGTTTTAGCATCAATAACTCATACAAGCAGAAGTTTTTAATTTCTTGNCCCCAATCTATCAGCAGAATAAATTCAACAATAACGGAAAGTCACAAACTCAACTGGGCAGATAGAACCTTATATCAGAAAAGAATTAAAGTAATCATTTTTACTCCAATAATTCAATTGAAAATCAAGCAAATCCCGTTTAAACAACATATCTAATCAATATTACTGTCTATTCTGCACGAGACGCCCATTTGCATTAGAAATAACGTATGTGCGAGTGAGAGTGGGGGAGAAAAAGGAGGTTTGGACAATAAACCTTAACAGTAAAATCGTGAATGGTCTTCTCAGTAGCAGCCCTGGCGTAAACAGAAGCGAAATATCGAGACTTTAAGCGAAACCCAGAAACAATTGGGGATAAAATCGAAAACCCATCTCGAGAAAACATCGATTTCGAAGAGCCGATGCTCGATCGATTGGACAAATCAAGAAACGCCAGACAACCGGATTTGCAGTTCAGTTGCAGGTTGGAGATTGGTAAACTGTGCAGAGGCGCGGAGTAAAGTGAAGAGAAAGCCATGGAAGCCATCGTCGACGATCTTTGAAGGTTGTGAGAAGAGAATCCAGCTCAGGCCTCAGTGTGCGAAAATTTCACAGAGTTTTCGTGGGACTGCAAACAGTTTGAAGATGAAAAATGGGGCAATCAAATTCGTATTCGTTGACTGATATTAAACGAGAAAAAGAAAAACTTCTCTTAAAATCAGGGAATTATGTTCGACGTGTCTCTTTTTCTGACCTTTTGTCAATCTTGTCATTTTTTTTACAAATTTTTAACGAATTAACTAACAAATGGTTTGACCCATGCTTTTTTTGGACATTTTCTTGTCATTATCTTTTCACATGTGCACCATTTATTAGTCACAACTCACAAATATGACAGTATACTTTCAAAACAAAATCATTTTCCACATATACAACACAAAATGGAACAACATATTACCACTTTTATTTTCTTAGACGAACCTCACTAAAAATAAAACATCCCAATAATAATAATAATAATAATAATAATAATAATAATAATAATAATAATAATAATAATAATAATAATAATACTTGAGAGTAATAAACCCAACAACAAAATAAAGAAAGAACAAAAAAGAAGACCTCAAACTATCCCATCATCTATCTATCGACATTATCAAAACTAGTCATTTCATCATAAACTCGTTCCACATATGTAGTGAACCCTTTGCCATGCACCGAGCAAGCACAATTAGAAACCCCTATATCCTCTGCAAGGCAGCTCGGCTCGACTCGATTATTCGAGTCGTACCAAACACATCTCTCTCGAACAAAACAGTTCACAAAATCGTCCAACATCTCGAAACTGACATGTGGCATCACGACAACATGCGCCATGTCACCTTGAGTCGAAAGTTGCCATTTTTTAACGAACTCAAAGCTCAATGGCCTCTCAAAAACAACCACTAAACCGGGCTCGTTGAGCATGCAACTAATCCCTTCCCTTTTGAGTCGATCTCTCAAATACCGAGCTTTCATCAAACACTTGTCAACTTCTCCTTGAATACCCGAACGACCTTTCGTGTTTAAGGTGTACCAAATGAAAATCGGTGTGTGGCCATTTCGACTTCCGGATAATGTGTTATCGATGGTTTCAATGTATTCTATGCTTTTAGAGATTACTTTTATGTACTTCTTTCTAGTCATGTGGACACCGCTTGCCATTGGAGAGCCCAATAGTTTGTGGGCCGACACACTAACACTTCCGATGGGCTTCTTGAAACTAAACATTGGTCCCTATTCAGAAAAGATCGATAATCCACCAAATACAAATTAGTTAGTTAGTTAGTTAGTTAGTGCTATAATGGTAAGTACTTATTAAGTACCTTATTAAGATGTTTTAATTCAACTTAATTACCTGTTGAAGAAAAGGAGATACGAGTCCATACAATGCAGCATCACAATGTATATAAAATCTATCTTCCGAAAATCCACAATCCTCCAAGGTTTTTATCACAAGGTCGAGGTTATCGACACCTCCTTTAAAAGTAGTCCCTACAAATTTAGAAAACAACACAAGTATATTAATACATTTCAAATGAATATTAATTCATAAATATATATATACATTTGTAGAAAAATCTATGTCTACATCATGTATAACACACCTATATTAGCATTCACAATGGCCGGTTTATCCTTGTTGAGATTAAGTTGTTCCCTTAGCTCATTGCAGTCGATTTCGCCAGTCGTTAACGTGTTAATTATCTTACACTCTATTCTGCAGATTCTTGCTATTTTGAATATGGAGTAGTGTGATTCTCTTGATGTATACAAAATCCCATCTGAAAGTAACTCTCTCCTGAAAGATAATAAACAGAGCTAGCATAAAAAGTACATTATAAATTTAATCCTGATTAAATTTAGAGGAAAATTAAATGGCAATGATTTAATAAATCACTCAATATATAAGTACTAATTACTAGCTACTAACCCAAGCAATAGGCCATGGAAATTGCCTTCGGTTCCACCATTAGTGACATAACCCCAAGACTCGTTTTTTTCGATCTCCCAAAGTTTTCCGAACCAATCTAAAACCGCCACCTCAAATTCTTTCGAATGCATGCCTAAGTTGCTGTCTTTGAACGGGTCACCAACGTTATTTATGTGGAATTTTAGCAGTGGAGATAAAGCCGTTAAGTGGTTGCAACGAACATTCACATGATAACCTGAAAGAAAACGCAGAATTACCCAA